TAGGGTAGGCCTATGTCTTTTGTGTTATGAGACAGTATCAGTGATGATGGATCAACGTTATTTAAGGCTCGTGCAGACAACAGACAGCGTCGGCCGATGGCCGTGCCGTTCACACTGCACAACTTGCCGTCTTGTGACGGGGGTCTTGAAGTCATTGTGGCGTTCACACTACGTGACTGAGCTGTGACAGGGGGTCACACACTACACGAGCTGACAACGACTCTGTCACCTGATGCTGGTTTCCAAACCACGTTTTGTCAAAAAAACACACGAAACGGGAAATGACACGAACCTACAGACAAAACAGCTGTTGTTTGTGTTATTATAAAGACAGCAATTACAAAGACAAAGAATCTGGGTGAAAGAATGCATTAGGACACGCAGGTAGCAGGGATTGTCTGAGCTACAGAGAAAGCCGGAGGTGAGTAAAAAGTGTATTTATTTATTTATTTATTTCAAGCAAAATAGTGTGACACAATAATAGATACACAATAATAATAACTTATACACTTATGCTTGAAATGGAGTGGGAAGAAGTAAAACTTATTAAACCCCACCCCAGTCTATCAAAGAATTCATACATACAAAAAATAGCTGCTTCCTTCATCAATAATCTCAAAGAAAAAATAATAATAATAATAATAATAACAATACCTCATTTAGAAACAGTGGATGCACAAGTCAAAACCACACATTCATACCATACATACTAATAATATACAAATATTTCCAGAGGTAACAATGCTTATCAAATACCAACAATGGTAGACTGAATACCACAAGAGTAAATAAATGACAACTAATCCAACAATCTACACAACATGAATACAATCAAACCTCATTGTCATTGTAATGTAACCAGACCTTTCGTTTGTAAAGACGTTTGAAATTGTGAATGCCTTGACATGCGGTGAAAAAGTAGCTGCCTGCTCTGCCAGCTGCCTGCTCTCATTGGCTGGATGTGGATGTCGAGTCGGCCGACTCCTCCAGATATTTGGCGTGCTAGATATCTGGCAGATGTCGGCGATATGGCAGAAATGTGTTGAGGAGGCGTTTTGATGCGTCTTTGAGTAGTTCACACTGATCAACCGCTGATTTACTCCCGATCACAGCCTGACGGTCGCGGAGCGGCAAATCGGGCTAAGAATTGTGCAGTGTGAACTAGGCTTAGGCTCCAGTAGCCTATACGTCTGCATTTTCCAGGTAATCAAACTATCTCTCATTAGTTGGATGTATCCCCTCTGCAAGGCTGTGTGCAGCTGGACTATTTGTTTTATCAAATGCCACATCTGTCCCTCATGTTATTAGCAGCTTTCTGCACCTCTGGACTGTGAAAAAGTGAAAAGATTATGTTTGATGATATTTGTCTTTGTTATTTACTTGAAATGTTTGATCTTTGATTGATGAAGTAATGAGGGTTTTTAAATCTGATGAATTTAATTACTTATGTTATAATAACACACAGAAATTTTCTTACTAAGGCTATATTTTTACATCTGATAAATGTCCTTAACTTGAATACATAATGAAATAAAGAGACAATTATTTATATGTTAAGGAGTAGTTACGTTTATGCAGTCTTACAGTTGCAACTGGCCCTTTGAGGGTGACCGTATTGCTTATGCGGCCCTTGGTGAAAATGAGTTTGACACCCCTGACCTAGTGTTATGGTTTCTGTGCAGCTGTTGATTCAGATCAGTTCCTCTCCAGCTAAGGGAAGTTTTTGTATGACGTTGTATCACTGTGTGAACGGGAAGCTGTAATCCTGCTGACAGTAATAAACTCCTGCATCTTCAGTCTGGACTCCTCTGATGGTCAAAGTGAAGTCAGTTCCAGACTGACTCCCACTGAAACGGTGTGAAACTCCAGACTGACGGTTTGTAGCATGATAAATCAAGAGTTTAGGAGCTTCTCCAGGTTTCTGAAGGTATCAGTCTACCTCATTGCTAACATGTGAACTGGCTTTACATCTGAGAGAGACAGTCTGTCCTGGAACAACAGACTGAGCTCCAGGAGACTGAGTCAGGATGATTTCTCCTGATGAATCTGGAAAACATGAAAAAGAGGAGAAGGGTTATTGAGACAAATCCAGTTTGGAGAAAGATGATCAACATCCAAACAGAAGAGTCTCATTTCTTTAACATGGAGAACAGATGGAAGAAGGTAAATGCTGCTTGTTTCAGTGTTTCTCCATCACAGCAGAACATCATTGTGGTGAACCTGGTTGCATCCTGAAGCAAAGTTTTCAGAAGAGAGTCTCACCCTGAACAAGGAGCCCCAGGGTGGCCAGCAGTAGAATCAGTGACATCATCATTGTGCTGCCGGCGTGTCAGTGGCTCTGAAAGGCCTGGACAGCCACTGATCAACACTGGCCTCTTAACGGCTGGGAGCAGAGAGGCAGGACACATATGCAAACACACAGAGTCAGTGAGCTGTAGCTGTCCTCAACATATCACGGTGTTTCCCCCTCAGTGCTGAGAGCATTGATCTACATATTTACATATTTACATGTAGACGATACTGAAAACTCTGGTGGTAAAAAGATCCATTGCTGTTTTGGTTTGTCTACCTAGTTTGGGAAAAGTTTTTTTTTTCACAATGATTAGTGACATTAATATTCATCTTTAGGTGTCTTTAATGTTGAGATTTCATCATGTAAAGCAGTGTTGGGTGTTCATGATCATACAATGTAATTGAAAGCTCAACAACAGTTTGTGGATGGATGTGCAAAGATTATTTAACTTTAGTGTACTGTAACAATTTTAATTTAAACATCTAATTTGACTTGGAATATAGAAAAGGGAGTCTTCATCATTACCTCTTCTTGCATGGAGTCATATGTAGTGTTGGAATCCCAGGCAGGAAACCTATCGCGAGAAATGCATAATGCTGTACTGCAAGCCACCTCACTAATCTCAGTATGGATATCATGACAGAGATTGCAAAGAGACCAAAGAAGAAATTATTGGAGGAAGAAGGGATGAGAAGAAGAAAGTGTGACAGAGCACGAGACAGACAAGAGTAAATATCAGACTGGCTTTTTTTTTGTTGGCGTGAGCTAAAGGAGCTAAAGCTCTCGCTGTAATTGATGTTACTTTGTTTGCTCTGTCCTATGTTGTCGCTGTTGCTTGATGTTCGGCTGTGTTAGCAAAGCTGTTGACATTAATCATGTAATGTAATCAGAGCAAATACATGAACAGGTGTCCGTATACAACAGTGTCATGTAAGTGAATAGTACTCCTAAAACTGGGAGCCAATTTTGATTATAAAGTTTTCTGATGCTGATCTGTGTCTTCATATTTTGTTTTATTTGGAAAAAGTTGAAGTTACTGTGCGCGTGCCATTTACTCACGGAGCGCTGTCTCATCAGACAGGTACTACGTTATGATATTAAGAATGTTTCTAAGACTGAAATCTTCCCCCAATAGTAATCAGCATGCAGTGTGTAGCTATCCACTTTTTAATTTGATGGCTTGTCTTCCTTTTGTTTGTCTACTTCTCCCACACGCTGCATCCAGTCTGTTGAAGTCTCCCTCCACTGCTTATTTCTGTGGGTGATTTGCAGGCTGATCAACATCCCGCCCCTCCTGTGACCCATGGTTTGACTGTACGTCTACGTTCAGAGTCAGTGAGAGACGGACTTTTTAAAAACTGCTTCACATGCGATAAAATAATTGTCAGCGATAATTGATTAATGCGTTAACGCTGTTTGTGAGTCCTCAGTGAAGTGTATCAGGGATTATAATGTGATATAAATGTATAGAGAAGAGACGTGCTGGAAAATGTAATTTGACTAAATATATTTTTTGATGATCAAGAGTTTCTTGATCATTAAAAAATTATCTTATTCTATTATTATGCATCACAAAAACAAAGCTAATTCATGTGTGTGTGTGTGTGTCTTCAGTGAAGTGTATCAGTCTCTGCAGTAGCTTCCAGCTGCAACAGTCAGTTCAGTTTCTGTTCAGTCTGACTGAGGGAGGTTTTTGTACGATGCTTTTTCACTGTGTGAACAACCACTGACTGTTGATGTAATGGAGACTCTGACAGTAGTAAACTGCTGCATCTTCAGTCTGGACTCCACTGATGGTCAGAGTGAAGTCAGAGTTTGATCCACTGCCTGTAAAACGACCTGGAATCCCTGATGCTCGAGTGCTAGCAGAGTAAATGAGGAGTTTAGGAGTTTCTCCATCTCTCTGTTGGTACCAGGCTAAATAGTGGTTTGGGCTGCTATAGTAAACATCCTGACTGGTCCTACATCTGATGGAGACGGAGCCTCCCAGAGCAGAGCTCACTGCTCCAGGCTGAGTCACTGTGACCTGGCCTCTGGACTCTGAGGATACAGAGACAAAAACATAAAGCAGCGTCATGGTTTTGTGGGCTTCATTTCAGAGGGACGGATGTTCATAGAGGAGAGGAGTTTGATTCTCTGGACTTTACCTGTGAAGCAGCAGCAGAGGAGAGTCCAGATGAGGACGCAGATCAAAGTCATGTTTTTGATGAGGAGGATTTCTGTGGCTTTTGTTGTCATGAAGGACAGCTGTCAGTCATCCAGTGTTCAACTCTCAGGACTATAAACTCTCCCAGAGCACTGGAGCATGGTGCTGCTGATGCAAAGTGGCTCTCTATGGAAATGCTCTGACTGACTCCAGCAGGGACTTGGATTACTCTGATGATGCTGTTTATCAATGGATCAATCAATTTACCTGAGTATTGATAAGACGGTTAAAAAATAAACTATTTTAATTCATTTTGGTTTCATGCTTCTAGACATATTTTGTGTCTAGAAGCATGGAGGTGGAAGATATTTGCCAATATCTTGGATAGGAAAAAAATAAAATAAAATTAAAATTAACACATCAAAACATGTATTCAAGTCGTATTTTTACATGTCAGCTTTTATTAGCTGACATGTAAAAATACGACTTGAATACGTGTTACAATCAGATTTGTTTGTGTCAAAGTCAGAGAGCCGTGTCTCTCTACAGTGAGAGGTTTTTGTACGGCGGCTCAATGAGTTTGTGTCACTGTGGTACCCGTTCGGTGGAGGAACCAGATTGGATGTTGGAAGTAAGTCAAATGTTTAAAAAACAATTTCAAGAGCTAATGTTGATTTTATATTCATTTATATTCTATACTGTAGTGAAAATTAGCAGTTGCTTTTCAACTTTTTCATGCATATTTGGAACTAAGACAAAGTTCACTTCAACAATATATATTCAAAATTGTATTTTAATTAACATTCTAAGACACAGGATAAATCCTTCTTTCCAACTGTTAAATTTGCATCTTGAGGGTTCATAGCTTTAGATTAGTCTGACAAAGTCAGAGAGCCGTGTCTCTCTACAGTGAGAGGTTTTTGTACGGCGGCTCAATGAGTTTGTATGACTGTTGTGGACTTTTGGTGTAGGAACCAGACTGGATGTTGGAAGTAAGTTTTCAAATACAAAATAAAATATTGTAAAGTTTTAAAATTGATATTTGGTTGGAGAGAAGATAAATTTTAATCTTAATGTAAAAATGATCGCTAAGGTTAGTATAACATTTTATACCACAAAAATAACTGTTTAAGTAAAAGTTAATTCATTTTATTTAATTGAACAGAGCAAAGATCAAGATGGGTTACTTTAAAATGTTGAAATGTGATTGAAATACAGATGAAGAACATTTGAATGAACAGTCGGTTCATTTTCTGTTTATTTATACTTCCACTAAATACTTCAGTCAGTTATGCTTATGATGTTTTACAGTTTTAACGTGAAGGTTTGTCTTTTTATTTCCAGTGTAGTTTGATATATTTCAGGTCGTTCTGTATGATGATTCTCTCTGTGCTGATTTGCATGAGAGGCTTCTTAAAGGGAAGTGAAACAATGTGTGAGTGAGTGACTGGTGGAGCAGAAAAAACATCTGACAGAAACTCCTTAAAGGAGAAACTCAGCTCTCACACAGTAAAGGTGTCCTCTAAGCTGATTGGTGTCTCCTAGGTGATGTCCGTCCCACCCTGACGGTGCTGCCCCCCTCCAGTGAGGAGCTGCTGCAGGGGAAGGCCACGCTCATGTGCCTGGCCAACAAGGGCTTCCCCTCAGACTGGAGTCTGGCCTGGAAGGTGGACGGCAGCAGCAGCAGCAGCAGCAGCAGCTGGGAGGAGAGCAGGAGCCCCGGGGTGCTGGAGAAGGACGGCCGCTACAGCTGGAGCAGCACCCTGAGGCTCCCTGCAGACCAGTGGAGGAAGGTGGGCTCTGTGACCTGTGAGGCCACCCAGGGCTCCCAGGCTCTGGTCTCAGAGACACTGAGGAGAGACCAGTGTTCCCAGTCCTGACCTGACTCACTGGGACTCTGCTACTGGTTTTATTCTGCTACTGCTCTCTCAACTCTGTAACTTTCTCTGTGTCTGTGTCTTTCTTTCCTTCTGTCACTCTCTAATCACATGTTTCATGGTTAAAGTTTGTTTACTTGATTTAATTTGTATTATTTCTACACAATAAAGACCAGTTCATTCAAATTTGTTGTTTTCATTTCTGTTATAGTGAAAGTAAGAGTTGGTAGAGGTCGTGCCCCATGAACAATGCTGACTCCTTACTGCAGCAGCCTGGGATTGAATCTCACCTGATCATCATAGTTTCAGTATCTGCAGTGTGATTCTTCACAGAGTCAGTGAGCTGTAGCTGTCCTCAACATATCATGGTGTTTCCCCCTCAGTGCTGAGAGCGTTGATATACATATTTACTTATTTACATGAAGAGGATACTAAAAAGTCTGGTAATAAACTGTTTCAGTGATTTTGTTTTGTCATTCCAATGTGGAAAATGAGTTTAATATGGTCTGCTGACAATGAATAGTGACGTTATTTTAATGCACATTGACGACAGATTTGGTTGTATATAATATCCAGATTTTCTCAAATAAAGAAATGACAAGTCAAGAGCAGAGGCTGAAGCTGGTATATCAGGTAGCTCGCTGAAGAAACTACTAGGAATTTTGGACATGAGGGCAGAGCCAGAAAACAGCTTTTATGGAATATTTAAACTTTGAAGTCAACATGAACATGAAGTCCTAACAATGCTCAGATGGATAGAAATTTGAAAATCTAAATTTAATGACCACTGGGCGACTCCATCTGCTGAGGAAGATCAAGTGATGTGAATGAAAGCTCCACAAAAGTTGGTGGATGGATGGTGTAGAGAGACTGTTTCACTGTTTCCAAGGTCATGAATGAACTTCTTATCTCAATGCATTCATTGAGATTTTTGAGGTGCATGTTAGAGAAAATGTGTCATTTAAAATTTTTATTTACAGTTTGCAGTCAGAGTTATAAACATCTAATAATATGAAGTATGTCACTTGTGTCTTTTTGTCTTGATTCCATTTGATAATGAGCTTCTCTTTACATAAATTTAGTTTAAAATAATATTTTCATCGTGAAGATATGTTATGCTGATCTGTTTCTTCGTATTTTGATTTCTGTAATCCAGTATGAAGCTGAGGTCAAAAGTCATGACCAAACATTTTTGTAATTGACTGTCCGGGATTGGATCTTTATGATTATTTGGAAAAAAAGAAACAAACATGGGATTTTTATTAGGATATGAATAGATGGTGAAAAGCTGTGATGGAAAAATTCATTTGATTTGCACTAGATAAGTTTTTGTCATCGAACTTGTTTTTTTATGTAGGTTAATTGGTGGTTAAAGCTGCAATGTTCTATCTATTTGATTAAACAGTGTGTTTGTGTTTGTGTTTGTGTGTGTTCAGTTTCAGGTAGGAGTTGGTGTGAAACATGAAAGGAGGCCATTTTAACAGAAGCAGTAAGTCTGTGCTACATATTTTCCTTCACATCTTCCTTCTCTGTCCTGCTCTCGTCTATATTGTACTGTATTAAACATGAGAATGAAGGAGCAGACAGTAAGTTTGTAGACTGCTGTTGGGATTTGCAGATGTAACGCTGCTCATTTATGCTGCAAAATAATAAATGCATATGTATACATTCTAGATATGGTGCATCTGTATTTATTCCTTAATCTCTGAAATTATTTCTCCGACTCATCTGTGTCCTTCTGTGTGTGTATGTCATTAATTGATTTGTGTAGCAATTTGTATCATGTGAGATGATTTACAACACATGAAATGGGTCTGTGAGTTTCCTAGGCTGCTTATCCATTGCCTAGAGGTTTGAAAAGATGTGCTGGTTAAAAGAGAAATGTCCAACAGTGTATAAGGGCAATCAAATAACCTTTGATATTCTCTGAGATCAAAGTGGTAAATTTATGAAATAAAACACACATTTACAAGGAAAAAACTTGTATATTCTATGAGATTTTAAAGTAAATTTTAAACATTTGGGAGAAATAGGTTTTGGTGGATTAATTAAAAACAGATGCTGGGCTCAAACAAACTTTTTGGGCTCAACCTCCGGGTCTAACCAGCTCATGGCAACTTGTCACTATCCGGTGATTTCACCCTCCTCCAGGGCTTCATTTGTTGAATCCCATGCCTCCTTTGTCACCATCAAAATCTGCAGCCACACATACAGGCCTACTGGTAGATGCACTGTATGCTGGAAAGTGGTTTATTGATTTTGGGTGTCTACATATTTTGGCATATGGTTACTGGAAACCCCATATCTGAGCAAGTGGGTGTTTGTGCTGTGAAATTGTGAAATGACTTTAGAGGTTACACAGAACTGTTCATTGCCTGCTTGTTGGGAAAAACAATTATTCTGATGTGGAACTGAAGCTTTAAATAATTATTGTTATGAATTTGTTATTATTCAAATAATATTATTTTGCTTTGACTAACATTGGGTTTGTTCTTCTGTTTCTTTCTTAATGCGACATTCGATTTGCTGTCAGCAATTGAGGTTTTGACAAACATTTGTAAATTAAAATCATGTGGCATAGAAAGGAGTTTGAGAAGTTGAATAGTGTTATTTTCCTGCTGAAACCACAAACTTTACCTTTTTTAGTTACTATAAGGTTGCCATACCAAAGTGCTCTGTCTGAAACTGTTCTAGTGCCAGTGGAGCAAATCTGTGTGTTTGTGTGTGTGTGTGTGTGTGTGCGCGCGCGTGCGTGCGTGTGTTTGTGTGTGTGTGTGTGTGTGTGTCCTCAGTGAACAGTATTTGTATTTAAAGTTCAGATTAAATGTTTATGCTTTACAATCAAAACTATTTCCCCACAAGATAAATACAGTGAATGATCTACGCTTTGTCAATCCCCTTAGCATTTCTGTCTCACTGGACTGCCACAAAGCATGTGGTTAACATAAAGTTAGGAAACAAAACTATTTGGTTAGATTAAAAAAACAGTATGGATTAAATTTTAAAAAGTCAGTCAGCTACGTAACACTTCTGTAATTTGATTTCCACAATACTGATACTGTGACATTTGTAATCCACTTGATGAAATTGTGCATTTGCGGTACGTGTGTGTGTGTTTGTGTGTGTGTGTGTGTGTGTGTCCTCAGTGAAGTGTATCAGTCTCTGCAGTAGCTTCCAGCTGCAGCACTCAGTTCAGTTTCTGTTCAGTTTGACTGAGGGAGGTTTTTGTTCGACGCTTTTTCACTGTGTGAACAACCACTGACTGTTGATGTTATGGAGACTCTGACAGTAGTAAACTGCTGCATCTTCAGTCTGGACTCCACTGATGGTCAGAGTGAAGTCAGAGTTTGATCCACTGCCTGTAAAACGACCTGGAATCCCTGATGCTCGGGTGCTAGCATAGTAAATGAGGAGTTTAGGAGGTTCTCCATCTCTCTGTTGATACCAGGCTAAACGGTTAGAGCCATATACATCCTGACTGGTCCTACATTTGATGGAGACGGAGCCTCCCAGAGCAGAGCTCACTGCTCCAGGCTGAGTCACTGTGACCTGGCCTCTGGACTCTGAGGATACAGAGACAAAAACATAAAGCAGCGTCATGGTTTTGTGGGCTTCATTTCAGAGGGACGGATGTTCATAGAGGAGAGGAGTTTGATTCTCTGGACTTTACCTGTGAAGCAGCAGCAGAGGAGAGTCCAGATGAGGACGCAGATAAAAGTCATGTTTTTGATGAGGAGGATTTCTGTGGCTTCTGTTGTCATGAAGGACAGCTGTCAGTCATCCAGTGTTCAACTCTCAGGACTATAAAGTCTCCCAGAGCACTGGAGCATGGTGCTGCTGATGCAAAGTGGCTCTCTATGGAAATGCTCTGACTGACTCCAGCAGGGACTTGGATTACTCTGATGATTCTGTCTAGCAATGGATCAATACTCACATTTTGTGTCTGATATTTAAAATGTGATGTGTTCACAGGGACATGTTGTTTTTTGTTTTTTGTTTTATCAGTTTGTTTGAAAATGTCACGTTCTGCCGGTTGGCCATCCTTGGTGTTGCACTTTTGTGTTTAGTTAGTGTTATTTTGGTCTGTTGGGTTTTGGGGGTCTGTCTTGTCTTTCGTCTAGTGTTGGGTAACCCTTGTCATGTCTGTTACCCCAGTGATCCCTCTGCATGTCTGTCTCTGTTTTCCCCTGCGCTCTCTCTCTCTCTCTCTCTCTCTCTCTCTCTCTCTCCCTACCTGTGCCTCGTTAGCCTCATGTCTTTCACCTGTGTTGCTCCCGCCCTGCTCGTTAGTCCCTGTGTATATATACCTGGTGTTTCTGTCTTGTCTTTGCAATGGTCATTGTTCATGTTATCCCCCAGTCTGTTGTGTGTGTACTCTCTGCCTGCCTGTAACCAGCCTCGCTTGTCTCGTCTCCCTGTACTTTTGAATTTCTGTTATTCAGCCACTCACCTGTAAGTGTGCTCGCTTTTGGTTATATTAAAACCTTTCGTTGAACTATACCTGCTCCGCTCTGTGTCCTGCGTTTGGGTCCTCCAACCTGCCTCCACACCACGATCGTGACAGAAAAAGTAGTTCAGTAGTTAACATTGTCATTTCAATATTTCATTGTTGATTCTTAGGTACATGAAATGGACAAACATACCATCTTCATGTAGGAGGTTTTTGCTTGAGACAGGAAATATTTAAGACAGTTAAAACAATAAAAGCCTTACAGTCTTCACTATATGTGAAATATTTAAAGAATAAAGAAAATACATAAGAGGAAAACTGTGCCTGTTACTACTTTTTATCTTTAGTCCTGAAAACCATCTGTTGTCATGGTTCAGCAGTGATGCCTATTGGTTGCCATGGTTACTGAGTTCAGAGAGGGAAATGAAACCAGTTTCATCTAATCTGAGGAAGATCGACACACTAGCAGCCTCCTCTCCTGAGTCGAGTCGTCCCAGAACACTGAGGAGAAGCTCTCTGTGTCTTAAAACAATAACAACAAAAAATTATAAACATCGATTCCATTGTGTTCAATAACTGCTGAGATACGTTCTGGTGAAATTTCATTATTTGAGTAGACTACTTAAATTTCATACGTTATATGACACAAGCTATCTATCAAATCATAATTATCACAGACTCAGAACTACAACAAAGGGTATTTTTTTGTCATATTCCCATGTGTAGTGTTCAGTTGTAATCCAGTGCTGCTCTCTTGTGGAATTGTCATTGTACTACACATGTTTTTCAAGTCACTTGAGGTATTTTTGTGTCTTTTTAATGCAAGCAACAAAAAGAGCATATTTATCGCACTGCAATGACAAATAAAGTTTGTAATGTGCAGCAACACGAAGGAGGTTAACCCTGGCTGCTAGCACAGCTTTAGGGTTAACTGGTCGACATGCACATAATCAATAACTTAAGTTTAGGCACACATTCTGTGATGGTTGTGGTAAGGGCTTCGGGGAGCTGTCAAGAGTAACATAGCTAGCTAGCTTGCTAGCCAGCTAGCTGGCAGTATCAAAGTAGTCCTAGAAATGCAATTCCGGTCCTAAGATTGCGATCCTGAAAATTCAGCCTTCGGTTCTGCAGCTACATACTACTCCAAAAATGGTCAAAATAAGAGATTCTATTGGTGGGTTTGACTGACCAATCATGGGTTTGCATTGACTGCTTCAACTCCGAGCAGCCCTCAATTGTGACGTGTAACGTTAACAAAATAAAACTGTGACGTTGCATAATCAACAATAAGCCTGTAATCTGTTTTTAACTTACAGAGCACAAACATGTAGCCTAATGTACAATGCATCTACAATTAATGACTTATTATAAGCTTATAAACTACTGTAAGTCAACA